GGGCAGCACGAACTCTGAGCCAGGAACACCGCGAGCCGGGCGGCCGGCAGCCCGCGCCGTGGGTGGCAGCCGTGCAGAGCGCTGCGCTGGCGTCCACATCTCAGACCCGTACAACGTCAACCTCCCGCTGCATATCACCTCCATCCTCAGCGTGCCCCCGAACATCATCTCCAACGTGTCCTTGGCCAGGCTCACCCGTGGCCTGGAGTGCCCCGCCCTACAGCCCCGGTCGAGCCCTGCCTCCGGCCCCGGCCCTGGCCCCGGCCCCCCAGGTGAGGACCCAGGGATTGCCCAGGACTGGGAGTGGTGACTGGGGAACAGGCGGAAGCTCTGATGGGGGAAGGGAAGAGGCCTCAGCCCTTGGCTTTGGGTGGTTCCCTTCGGCTGCCAGCCCTGGTTCAAGGCTGAGGGGATCCAGGGACATAATGCACTTGTGTAAAATACATGCAGAGGGGCTCTTGTACACGCACGGGCGGGTCCTGTCGGACGCACGTGGCAGGGATTACCACGCACCAGGTGGACACGCACCACCGGTGGTAGTGACGGCAGTCAGATCAGCCACACCAGCTGGCACTCATTGGAGGCTTATTATGTGCCAAGTGCTGTATTAAGGACTTTGCAGGTGTTAGCTTTTTTCATTTTCTCATGGTCTTATGACACAGGTAGTGCTGTCATCCTTGTGTCACAGCAGTCGAACCGGAGCCTTGGTTAAGCCACGTGTCATTGGTTTGGGTAGGCGGTGGCAGAGCTGGGAGCCAAGCGCTGCTCTCACTGCGTTCCTGAAGCGTCTCGGATGAGAACTGCGGGCAGCTCAGCCTGGGGGGTGAGGGCGTGGCCACGGAGCAGCTGTGGGGTCACACTTCGCCTGCGCCCCTTGTCCTGTGACCCTGGACAAACCGCTTACTCTCTGGCAGCCTCAGTTTTCTCACGTGTAAAATGGAGGCAAACATCCTATAGCAGAGGGCGCTTTTGTGGGGAAATGAGATAGTGCATTTTAAAACGTACAGCCCGGTGCCCAGCACCTGGAGGAACAGGACAAAGGCAGCTGTAAGCCAACAGTCCGGAGTATTGGTCTGAAGTCAGCCAGGTAGGGGGCCAACCTGGGCATGTTGGGCCCCTAGGGCAGCAATGCCAGGAAGACCCACCCATGTGAGAAAAGGGTCGGGGCTGACCCTGACCTTCGTATTCCTGGGACTACCTCTGTTCCCACAGATGAGAAGTTGGAGGCAAGTCCAGCCCCGGGTGCCCTGGCTGACTCAGGCCCAGCGGCCCTGGCCCCAGCCCCGGCCCTGGAGGACTGCCTGTCCCAGGAGGTGCAGGACTCCTTCTCCTTCCTAGAGGACTCAAGCAGCTCGGAGCCCGAGTGGGTGGAGGCTGGGGACTTGGCCAAGGCTGGAGCCGCAGGAGCAGCCTTCACCCCGGGGGATGACGACCCTGGGATCGGCTACCTGGAGGAGCTGCTAGGAGCTGGGCCTCAGGTGAGGGGGAGCCATGCTGGGATGAGGGGAGGCAAAGAACCCAGAGGGGAGACAGGGACCCTGGTCCTGAGCCTCATGCCGTGCCCATAGGTGGAGGAGTTCTCCGTGGAGCCACCGCTGGACGAGCTGTCTCTAGACGATGCCCAATTTGTCCTGGCCCCCAGCTGCTGCTCCCCAGACTCGGCAGGCCCTGGGCCCGCGGCAGAGGAGGAGAGCGGGGAGGAAGTCTTCCTGAGTGCCTACGATGACCTCAGTCCCCTTCTGGGGCCCGAACCCCAGGCCTGGGAGAGCCTGGGCAGTCTGGAGGAAGACGCAGCTGGGTGTGGAAGACAGGAGGCCCCGGGGCAGGCTGAGGGGGGGCAGCCGTGCTGGGAGGTTGGGCAGGGCAAGGAGGCTGAGGCTGGCAGCAGGTGGGACATCAGGGAGGAGGCTGAGGGGAGTCCAGAGGGCAGGGTGGAGGCTGGAGAGGCAGGTGAGGAAGGAGGGGATGCTGGGGGAAGCCAAGAGATGATGGTCAGTTTGCATGAAGGGTGTGGGGAAGAGACAGAAGCCAAGGACGAGGAACCCAAAGGTCTGCAGGAGGATGAGCACATGGAGGAAGCTAAGGGTGTGGAGAAAACAGAAGGAGAGTGGGGTGAGGAGGAGGGGGAGGAAAGGACGACTGAGAGACAGGAGGAGGCTGAGGAAGGAGAGGAAGCCGCCGTGGAAGCTGGCAAGGACCCCCAGCAGAGGGCCCAGGAAAAGCAAGCTGCTGAGGAGAGCTGGGAGGTGGTGCACACACAAGAGGCTGAGGGAGGCAGAGAGGGTGAGGGGGGAGCCCGAGGGCAGGGGGAGAACAGAGACCTAGAGGCAAGAGAAGACCAAGGAGATGGTGAAGACAGAAGCACAGAAGCAGCAGCTGAAGGAGGAGCAGGGGAGGTCGGCAAGGAGCGGGAGAGTGGGGATGGAGAGGCGGAGGGAGAGCAGAGGGCTGGAGGGGACCGTTTAGAAGGGGGCTTTCTCCTAGAAGGGTCATATGTAGTGTCCTTGGAGGTCGACAGTGCCACAGAGGGCAATGACCAGCCCTCTGAGACAGAACGGGCAGCCCCACAGCCACCCCGGCCGGAGGAGATGGAGCCCGACGGGCAGCCCAGTCCAGAGGGCTGCAGCCTGTGCCCCTGTCCCCTTAGCTCAGCTGGCAGCGTGGGCATGCGCCTGGCCTCCACCCTGGTCCAGGTCCAGCAGGTCCGCTCTGTGCCGGTGGTGCCCCCTAAGCCACAGTTTGCCAAGGTGCCCGCTGCAATGGGTAGCAAGATCCACGTGGCGCCTGCAAACCCATGCCCGAGGCCCGGCCGGCTGGATGGGAGTCCCGGGGAGAGGGTTTGGGTGTCCCGAGCCTCCCGCTCCTCTTGGCGGAATGGGGGCAGCCTCTCCTTTGACGCCGCTGTGGCCCTGGCCCGGGACCGCCAGAGAACTGAGGCTCAGGGGGTCCGGAGGACTCAGACCTGCACGGGGGGTGAGGACTACAGCCTCATGCCCAGAGCCTCTCCCTGCAGCGGGATCCCTGCCCACTCCCCGCGGCCCCTCAGCTTCCTGGAGCTCCCTGCTGAGGGCTCGGAAAGGTCTGAACCCCGGAGCCGATTTAGCCTGCCCCCAAGAGAGCCCCAGGCCCTGCACCCCCCGGTGCCCCCACAGCGCCGAACGTATGCGTTTGAAACACAGGCGAACCCCGGGAAGGGCGAGGGACTCTGATCAGGGCCGGTCGCCGGGCCAGCAGCGTGCCGTGCGCGGTCTTCCATCTCTGGAGTCCCCGACCGCCCGCCGCGGGTGCTCTGCAGCCCGAGCAGCGGCCGCGCCCGCCTCTCAGGGCCTCGGCCCTCCAGCTTCTCTCTGACTGCGGGAGGCGCTGTCCCGGCTGGCTTTCCGAAACTGGTGTCAGACACAGAGCACTCACCCTCGGGAGATTCCCGAGAGGGCCGCCGAGCGCCTGTTCCCAGGGGGTGAGGTCATGGGCCGAAAGGGACAAACAGTGGGCAGAGAACAGAGACGTGTCTCAAAGGGAGGAATGAAGGGGAACTCCGGGCCAGAGTCTCCCTCCGGAGGCTGCGAACTTCCCTTCAGGGAAGCCCCGGGGGCGGGCGGGCGGGGGGCGTGGGGAGCACGGGCCAGGTCAGAGCCCACGGTCCTCCAGGTCCTTGGCCCTCGGTGTGCTGTGGGGCCTCGCTTGGCTCCCGGCCCCCCACTCTGCGCGAGGAGCCCCAGGTCCGCGAGCTCTCCGGAGAACTCGGTGCTCGTTGGAGGCACGGCCCCGGCTCCCTTTCCAGCCCCCCACCCTCCGCCTCCCGCGGCCTTCGGGGGCGCCCCACCGATCCCTTTGGCCTCTTTTCCCCTTGGGAACAACTTCCTCCTGTTTCAGGGACAGGGAATGGCGCCGCTCAGGGCCCGGACGGCTTCGCTAGACGGGCTGGGGCCATAGGTCCCATCCCGGTAGGGGCCTGTGTCTCAGAATAAAAGCTGTATTTTTACACGTAAATAGTGTGGAGTTTCATCATTCTTATTCAAGCCTTGGGTGACAGGCACGCCATTTCAGGTGCGGCCCATCCTTGCCCTTTTTCTTGTTCCGGGGCCCCTGCTCGGTGGTTGTCATGGAGACCTGGGGCTAGAAACTAGAGCTGGGTTCGCGGTGGTCAGGAAACTGGGAAGAGAAACTCGCATGTACGTAACGTTCCCTGCGCACCAGCAGAGGCTGTGTTTCCCGTGTGCCCTCTCCTTCGTCCCCTGTCCATTCTGCGTGTCAGGGTGGTACCGGCCTCCGCGTTCTGCGGGCGACAGAACCGAGGCTCCTCAGGTCCCGAGGCTCGCGAGATCTCCGAGAGAGTCAGCGGCAGAGGCTCTGAGCCCTGTGACACCGCACACCTGCGATTCACGCCGCCTGCGAAGGGCGGGCGTCGAGATCCCGCTGCAGAAGCAGCCTCACAGGCTGGAAGCCTTGCAGGTCTTTGGGCGAGTGACTGCGGACGTTAATACAAAGGCGTGTACCCACACCCAAGTGTGCCAAGGCACCCCAACCTCCATCCGGAAACGCTACAAATAGGTCTCCCGATTCTAGATGGCCTCCTGCCAGCCCTCGTTAAAGATGGCGCCGCCGGCCGACGGGCCTCCCTTTCCAGGAACTAAATAAAAAGGCCCCGTCCAACAGGAAGATGGAAGCACATGTTAGTAGTATTTGTCCCGTTCTTGCCGAAAGCCCCTCGGCCTTCAGCGTCATCTTCTCGGACCCCAGGCAGTCGTACCCTTCCGCCCTCATCAAGATGGAGCCGACGGAAGTGGGAAAGGTTAGGGCCTGGGCGGGCAGAGGCTAGAGAGGGCCACTTCCGCCCCTCACCAGCATGGCCGCGGGCTGGGAGCGCGCATGCGCAGCTGCTCATGGAGCTGCCCGAATTCGGCGAGCGGCGCTGTCCGGGAGAGTCGGCGGCTGAGGCGACGGAGGCCGGTGAGTGCAGCACGGGAGGGGAGCTGGAGACGGGGCGCGCCGGCAAGGACGGGCAGCCTCGACTGTCTCTCTGACTCTCGGGCCGGGGAAGTGCCCGGGGGAGGCCTTTGTTTTGAGGGAGGGGCCGCGCCTGCCTCTAACTGCGGCCCGCGCGTCCCGCCTCCTGCGCGGGGCCGAGCGCGGCGCCCCGTGTGTCCGCCGGGTCTGCGAGCCGCACCGACGCCTGCTGGGGACTGCCGGCGGCGCGCTCCCAGCGAGGCTGGCGCCGGGTCCCTCTGCGCTCCATCGCTCTCCCTTTGTGTCCGCGCCGGGAACGGCCCTGCTGGGCCCCCCTCGGCGAGCGTGCGCGCCGCCGCGTCCGGCCCGGTCCCCGCGTCGCGCACCCCGCGCGCACGGGAAATGCTTCGCGGACGCGCAGCGGAGACCCGGACGAACCGCGGCTGGGGCCTCGGAGGCGTCCCTGGCTGACAGCTGTAGGCGGCGGAGACGCCCCGTGCCCTGTCCGCCGCCCCGCCCCTCCGGCGTCCGGCGGGCACCAGGGGGCTCCGCCCGCGCAGGCTCGGGGACGGACAGGTGGGCGGTCCGGGCCGCTGGCGCCGCTTCCTCGTAGGGACCGCGCGCCTCCTCCTCCTCCTCCCGACGGTTTCGCTTTCAGTTCCCTTTTTTTTTTTTCTGGTGAGCGTTTTCCCTGGACCCGGGCTTTCGAAAGCTCACCCACTGGAGATTTCCCTTGGATAGGAAAGGTTTGGGGGACCTTCTGGGTAGAGAGTGTATCAAAAAGTTACCCCTGTCGCGTCGGGACTATTTTATTGCTTTGCTCTGTGTAGCGGTTTCTCTCCGGAGGCATCTGTCCGCTCCGCGCGTCCTTTTCCTGCCCGCTGGCTGGCTGTCAGCGTCCTCCTGCCCGCACCTTGTGGGTGGGCTCCTCCTCCTTTGTCTCCTCCTTCGGAGCCCCGGGCCCCAGTCTTCTCCCGTCTTGCTGCGGCTCGGTGGATTTGGAGTTGTCATGGCAACATGTTAGCCCCCGGGGTGTTCTAGGTTTGGTGGATAAAGTAGCAGGGGCTTGAGGACGATACACTGGGCCTTTTGGGTCTGTAGCAAATGACATCAACCTGGACACCGCAAAACAACAGCCCTGTGACTGTCACGGGGCCCAACGGCCAAGTCTGGCGCTTTGGGGTTGGGAGGGGTTTGCAGTGGCCGAGGGCTTCGGGCTTCCCCTTCCGGGGTTCGAGAACAGAAGCGGGTTGGTGTTCGTTCGGCCTGTGGCTGAGAAGCTGCTGCAGGAGGGCCCCGTGGTGGCGGGAGGCGGCGTTGCGAACGTCCCGCGACAGCTCCGGTGTGCTTGTCCCTCCCCACCAGGACGGGCGCCGGGGGGGGGGGGGCGGGGGGGCGCTGCCTGCGGCCCATCTCAGCGTCGCCCCCGCGGTGGGCGGTTTGTTCCCGGCTGTGTCTCAGGGAGCCTGCGTGCTCACACAGGGGCGCCCAGTGTCCAGGAGCCACTGCCGACCCCTCATTTCTGCCAGGACGAAGCGCTCAGGCCTGGGAGGCGGGCGGCACGAAGACTGCACGGCGGGGCCCGCCCCTCGGATGCACCGCCTCACAGAGAGATGAAGGGGTGAGCGTGGAGGGGCGCGGGGGGGTCCCGGCTGGGGGTCTGCCCTGGCTCTGGGGTCTCTGCTCCTGAATCCGCAGTGGCCCAGAGCCTGGGTTTCCTGCCTGTAAAGTGCAAGCAGGCCCTGGCGGGGCCACTCCGTGGGTCAGCGCGTGGTCCAGATGCCCAGCGCTGTGGGTTCGATCCTCGCATCCGTCAGGGGAAGAACAAGCCCAGGTCTCTCCCCCCACCACTTCCTCTCTCCTTCTAAAATCCGTCAGCACCCAAAATGTCATTAACACACGTTTAAAACAATATTTGAAACGCAAGCAGGGCTACTTGCCCCGTAGCGCTGTTCTCAGTAGCAAACGTGGCTGCTCTGGGTCTGCTCTGGGGCTGTGCGCCGGGATCGCCCAGCGAATCCCCCGCCATCCTGGTGCCTGCTGGGCGCCGGCGACTTCGGTCCCTCGTGTTCCGGCACCAGTGAACTCTTCACGCACTTCTTCCCTTGCCCTCCTCTCTGCCCCGCACGAACAGGCAGCAGAAAACAGCTGAAGCGGAAGAGGGCACGGTGCAGATCCAGGAAGGTGAGTGGTGGGGACTGCAGTGCACTGGGACGCAGCTGGCCCCGACTGGCCTCTCCCCACGCCCTAGGCCACCTGTGCTCCTTCTTCCCTGAGTGACAGGCAAGTGACACCGGGGGAGAGAGGCAGCAGCACACAGACTCCTCCTTGCTCTTTGAACTTAGGTGCAGTAGCAACTGGGGAGGACCCCACCAGTGTGGCCATCGCCAGCATCCAGTCCGCGGCCACCTTCCCTGACCCCAACGTCAAGTACGTCTTCCGAACTGAGAATGGGGGCCAGGTAAGGGGGGGGCCAGGTGGCTGCAGGTGTTACTGGGGTTGGGCTAGAGGGAGGTCATTGCACCTGTCATGTGGAGACCTGGAGGGCGAGGAGAAGTTGGGGGCTGTTTGGGGGCGGGGGCTGCAGTCCGAGGTTTGGAGTGGAGGTGGGTGTGGCGGAGGGCTTTTCGAGACCTCCTTGTGTGGGCAGACGGACAGCGGCTGGCTCTGTGTCCCTGGAAGACTCTCGTTTGGGGGCCTGTCTAGGAGATGCTTGGTGAGGACCCCGAAACCCTAGCATTTACTCTCTTATTCCCTCTCCCCCTACCCCCCCCCACCCCTGTCCTCTTTGCTTCTAGGTGATGTACAGGGTGATCCAGGTGTCTGAGGGGCAGCTGGATGGCCAGACTGAGGGGACTGGCGCCATTAGTGGCTACCCTGCCACTCAGTCCATGACCCAGGTACGGGGCAGGTGCGGGAGGTGGGGGTGGGGAGACCGGAGCTCTGAGAGTGAGATAAGGCAGGGGACCAGTGGGCTGGGTGGGGCTAGGGATGGTGAGGCGCCTGGCTGCCCTGTCCGCAGGCCCTGGGCTCCCCCTTTCGGGGTCTCCCTCCCTCCTTGATGGGGTAGAAGCTGCAGAGCCCTTCACTGGGGAGGCTGATGGCCACTGGACTCCGTCCTCTGGGTTCCCTCCAGGCGGTGATCCAAGGGGCGTTCACCAGTGATGACGCAGTTGACGCGGAGGGGACAGCGGCCGAGACGCACTACACGTACTTCCCTGGCACTGCCGTGGGAGATGGGGCTGCGGGGGCCACGTCGGGTAGCACTGCAGCGGTCGTCACCACGCAGGGCTCCGAGGCGCTGCTGGGACAGGCCACGCCCCCCAGCACTGGTGAGATGCCCTGGGGGGCGCCGGCTGCCGGGCAGGGGAGGCTGTGGGACGTGCTGGGGGTGGCAGGCCTCTGCTCATGACCTGCACTGGTCACTGAGCCCTGGGCAGTGGTGAGCGAGCGTGGGACTGCTCCTCCGGCAGGAGGCAGGAGGAAGTTGGCCCCGGGAAGGGGAGGTCCCAGGGCCTTGGCCTCAGGGCTTGGTGAGGCTCCTAGTCCCACATCCTGAGGGAGCCCACGCTGCCCCCACAGGCCAGTTCTTCGTGATGATGTCGCCACAGGAAGTGCTGCAGGGAGGAAGCCAGCGCTCCATCGCCCCCAGGACCCACCCTTACTCCCCGTGAGTAACCCTGTTTCTTCCCGGTTACCACGAGGGCCAGCTCTCGTGTGACTCCTCACCCAAATGCCACTCTCACATTTGACCTCTGTTCCTCGGCTGCCACTGGCGTTGCCAGGAAGTCAGAAGCCCCCAGGACGACGCGGGACGAGAAGCGCAGGGCTCAGCATAATGAAGGTGGGGGCGCCGGGGTCTGGGGGCAGCAGTGGTGTGGGGGGGGGGCAGGTCACTGTCCCTGGGCCTGCGCCGCGCTCGCTGAGTCGCCCGGTCCTCGCTGCCCCACAGTGGAGCGGCGCCGCCGGGACAAGATCAACAACTGGATTGTGCAGCTGTCCAAGATCATCCCGGACTGCTCCATGGAGAGCACCAAGTCGGGCCAGGTCAGGGGGGCCCCTGGGGGGTGGGTGCCCGAGTTCTGTGTCCTGTGGGTGCACACGGCAGCTGCCGCTTCCTCTCGGAGGCTCCTGGGGGAGTGGCCCCGAGCGAGAGCTGCTGCTGGAAGGCAAACCGGGAGTCTCACGCCCCAGCTCTCGCCCTGTTGGCTTTGCCTGCAGAGTAAAGGCGGGATCCTGTCCAAGGCCTGCGACTACATCCAGGAGCTTCGGCAGAGCAACCACCGGCTGTCCGAGGAGCTGCAGGGGCTCGACCAGCTGCAGCTGGACAACGATGTACTCCGCCAGCAGGTCAGCTTCCTGTCCCCAGGCCCCCCCCGTGGCCGCGGAGCCCTTTGGGAGTCTGGGCCTCGTTTTCCGTGGAGAGGCTTTGTCCTTTTCCCTGCCCTAGTGGCGGTGGGAACAAGCTCAGGGACTCCCCCCTCACCCCCCCCACCCCGCCCCCCGTGTCAGGTGGAAGACCTCAAAAACAAGAACCTGCTGCTCCGAGCCCAGCTGCGGCACCACGGCGTGGAGGTGGTCATCAAGAACGACAGCAACTGACTGGGTGTCCCTGTCTTGGAACGGCAGAAAGCCCTGGAGCCCCGGGCTCCCCCTGCGCCCCCTTCCTTCGCTGCCCATTTCCGGCAAGAGACCGGGAGGAGTTCAGGGGGCAGGCCCCGCCAGCAGCGGACAGCGGTGTGAAACCCGGGACTGCCCTGCCAGCCCGGCCCCGGGCGCCCTGCAGCCCCAGCCCCCTTGCACAGACCCCGCGCAGTCGGGGTGGACACTGGACCCACCGAGTGGGGTTTGTCTGGTGCGGGCTTCCGGTACCGGCAGGGGGCCTGCTGACGGGTGACCCTGGCGGCCCTGACGGCGCTTCTGCGGCCCCGTCTCCCTGGAGCTCAGCTGTGCCCCCGAGGGCGCCAGGGAACCGGCTTCCGCACGCGGCGGGGGAAAGCAGCGGGCGCTGCGGCGGGAAGAGGCGAGGCGGGTGGGCGGCAGGGAGACGTGCACAGAAGTCCAGGGAGGACCAGAGACGGCCCGCGTGCGGCCTTTCCCCTCGGGGGACGGTTTCCCCTCTTTTTCTTTTTTTAAACATAAAATGCAGAGCCACAGCCGCCTCCCGTTTGTCTTTTTGTGGGCCCAGGGGTGGAGGGGAGGGCGGGGCCGGGGTGACGGGTGCTGGGGACTCCGCGTCTTGGCGCCAGTCGGACCTGCGGGTCGTGGCAGACGCAGGGGTTTGGTGAGCCCGGGTTTACGGTCCTCACCGAGAACAGGTGCTGTGGGGGCGGGGCGGGGGCGGTGCCTCCCTTCCGCTTCCGGTTCCGGTTCCGGTCTCAGCCCCGGGAGAGCCGTGGAGATGCTGCGGGGACCGCGGGGCCGGCCGGGCGCGTTCCTGCAGTTCTCCGTGGTGGCGCGCGCCATGGCCGCAGGTGCGTGCGGGGTTCGGCGAGTCGGCTTTCCTTCTGGCCCCCGGAGCGCACGGGGCCCGGGGGCAGGGGCGGGCGGAGGTGCGGCCTCGGTGCAGGCGCTGCCTCCCAGGTGGGAGGCCGGTGGGAGGCCGCGCCTGGGGCGCTGTGCCGGGCGACGGGGCGACGGGCGCTGCACCGGGCCGGCCCCTCCAGGCTCCGTGTCCCGTCCACAGTGCCCAGCGTGTCGCTTCCCGAACTCCGCTCGCTCCTGGCCGCGGGCCGGGCCCGGCTCTTCGACGTGAGGTCTCGGGAGGAGGCAGCCGCGGGGACCATCCCCGGGGCGATCAACATCCCGGGTACGGGGTTGTGAGGGGGCGCCCGGCAGTGTGGGTCCGGGGGCTCTCAGCCGAGGGGCCTGATGTAGGTGGCGCGGGGCACGGGGACCTGAATTCCCTCCGCCCCCCAGGCTTCCGGACAGGGGCCGGTGGGGGCCTGTACCGGCAGCGGAGCTGGCCTTCCCGAGCTGGGAGACATGGTGGGCAGAGACTGCAAGCGCACCCCCAAGCTCAACCCCCCAGAGGCCTGGGTCCCCACGACCTGCTCGTCCTTAGCCTTGGGGAGGCAGGTCCTGACTTTGCACTCGGCTGCGCTGTATCTTGACCTTGAGGTTGAGGGTGGTGGCCACCAGGTGTGGTGTGCAGGGCCCCTGAAGGTTAGTCCAACCACCGGAACTGAGCCCTTCCAGGTGCTGCCTCCGAACCTCGGGTTGCGAAACGGCCGCTCCCTGGCCTGTCCTGACTCTTCCTCCCAGTGTCGGAGCTGGAAGGTGCCCTGCGGATGGACGCGGCTGCCTTCCAGGCCTTGTACTCTGCGGAGAAGCCGAAGCTGGAAGACGAGAACCTCATTTTCTTCTGTCAGATGGGCAAGCGGGGCTTGCAGGCCGCGCAGCTGGCTCAGGGCCTTGGATACAGAGGGTATGGGGCGGGCGGGTGCTGGCTGGGGCCTGGCTGGGGGCTGCCCCCCAGCTCGCCCTGCGGCCTCACCCTGCTTTGTCTCCACAGCGCTCGCAACTACCCGGGGGCCTACAGAGAATGGTTCGAGAAAGGAGGCTAAGTAGGAGGCGCTGACTTCAGGGAAGGGCGAGGAGGGCGCCCACTCACTGGGCCGGGCGAGGTCTGCTGCTGTGCACACAACAGCGTCAAATAAAGAGCACGTGACCAGCCCTGGCTGGTGTGGCTCAGCGGGCTGTGCGCCTCCCCAGGCCCGGCGCCCGTCCGGCTGCTGGGGGTCCTGTGCCCAGCTGAGGGCGTGCGAGAGGCAACCACACGTGGATGTTTCTCCCTCTCTCCCCCCCTCCCTTCCCCTCTCTCTAAAAATAAATACATTTTTTTTAAAGAGCATTTAATCAAAGTGTTGGATGCATTTAATGTGTCAGTTGGACTGAAAGCGGTTCTAATCCTAATCTGGACTCAGGGAGCCCTGGTGCCTCTTCCTTCCAGCATTCATCACCCCCCCATCCCTCCAACACAGAATTCCAGCAATTTCCCAGAACGACATTTCTCTTCTGGAACAATTGTTTTCAGCCTAGAACGCACGGGAGAATCGCCTGCCAGCGGGGGGCGGGGGCAGGGAGGGGAAAAGAGCCTCAGGTTTGGAATTTCAGGGTTGGGGCCAGGGGCCCCCAAGTGAGCCAGTCCCTCGTGGGTTCTAATGTGCAGCCAGGAAGCCAGAGGTCAGCAGACTGGCCCCACGGGGCCTCTTGGCCGTGACCCTTCATGTACCCATTGTCCATGGCTGCTTTTGTGCAAAAGTGGCAGAATAGTTGTAACAATGTTGTGCAAAACACAGACTTTTGCCCATCTATTCCTTTCCAGAGACTGTGCCTACCCCTAGCCCCAGAGCCACTGTTTTCAGCCCACGTGCCACAGGAGCTTTCGAACTGCGCAGCCCCTGACCGTGCAGTCGGGGGCCCTGCCGTCTCTCCCCTCAGATGGTCAAATGAGGAAATGACAGCAGCCCGCACAACAATCGTCCCACAATCGTGCACGCACCAAAATTATACCTGTTTTCTTGTTCGGATGGGTAAAACTATACAATTTTGGGTTTGGAAAGCAGCTTATGTGCGCCATGAGATGAGAGACCGCCGCTGCAGGCCTGAGACCCTGTGGCAGCTGTCGCGCGAGGGGAGGGAAGGGGCCCCCGCAGCTGTGCCCAGCACCCAGCGCAGGTGTGCGCCCTCTTGCCTCCTGCGCCGCCAGAAGCAGGCTCCAGTTCCTGCCAGCACCGCTCTGCGGCCCCACACTGGATTTAACACGGTTTAATTTCTCGAAATGCACCGAGGCGGACTTCAGCACTCTGCAGCAGGGATACAACTTTCTTCTAGCATGGTGATAGTTTGGGGCATGTCCTTTTGAATATTTTAGTGGCATTTTTTTTTTACTTAAGAGTGATTTTTTAAACGTGTTATTCCTTTATTTGTGGAATTGAGATGGACCTAGTTTTCTGATTTTTCAGGTCTCTGCAGAAATTACTTCAGACATTTTCCGCATTCCTTGCCTTTCTCTCTTTTCCTTCCTTCCCACCCCTCGGCTTCCTGGGCTGGAGCCAGTCCTCGGACACACACCCTTGATCTCACAGCCTGCACCGCCCACGCTGTGAAATCTTTCCTCCCTCCGAACTCAGCTCCTGCCTGCTGAGGACCCATTCTGGGTTATCACGGTGATCCGTCACTGCTGGAGCTCAGATGGGCGCTGTTGGGTCTGGGGATAAAGCTGAAATCGGTGCAAAAGTCTAGCCCAGGGTCTGGCAGACACACGGTGGCCCTTGCTCTTTCCCCAGCCCCCCGAGTACCTCTGGTTCTCAGACTCGTTGGGAAACTTTTCCTGTGGTCTGATTCGCCTCTTTGTTTGAGTCTTAACTGTTCTAGTCTTCTTTTTTAAAAAAAAATTGTTTATTTATTTTTAGAGAGGGAAGGGAGGGAGGGAGAGAGAGAGAGAAACATCAATGTACGGTTGCTGGGGTTTATGGCCTGCAAACCAGGCATGTGCCCTGACTGGGAATCGAACCTGCAACACTTTGGTTCGCAGCCCGCGCTCAATCCACTGAGCTATGCCAGCCAGGGCTCTAGTCTTCTTTTTTCCCCCTACTCAAATATCATAATTCAATTATAGTATTTATTTTTTTTAACTTTTGTTCATAAGAACTTTATTTTTTTTTAGATTTTATTTATTTATTTTTAGAGAGGGAAGCGAGGGAGAAAGAGAGAGAAACATCAATGTGTGGTTGCTGGGGGCCATAGCCTGCAACCCAGGCATGTGCCCTGACTGGGAAGCGAAACTGCGATGCTTTGGTTTGCAGCCCACGCTCCATCCACTGAGCAACACCAGTCAGGGCAGTATTTATTTTTTTAATCGAGGCATAATTCACCTATAATAGGGACAAGTTTCTGAAGTGCTCAGTTCACAGAGTTCTGACAATTGTACGCTCACTTGTCAACAACCACCCCAAACAAGATCTGGAATACAGAAATCCCCACAATTTCAGGCCCCTTTCCAGCCAATCACGTGCCTAGTCCCTTCTAGGCAATAATTTTCCATCTCCTATCAGCGTCGGCTCGTTTTTCCAGCTTCCTTCCTGCCTCGCTAACCTCTGCTGTGCTTCCTCCAGCGTGGCTGATGGGGCTACCGTGCTGGGGTGTGCTCTCCGGCTCCCCATTGTTAAGAGAACATTCCTCTTTCCCCCTGGAGAGTATTTGGTTCATAACCTTGAAAGGCTGTTCCCACCCTCACCCCGTCCTTCAAACTTCTCTCTCCCTTTCCTCACAGGTACTGTATCAGGTGAGGCTGCAGAGCTTGGTAGACCAGATCTGCGTCTTCCTGGCTTCTACATTTTCCCCCAAACCACGTCAGACCCCTCTCTCTCCCAGACCCTTATCGCCGGCCCCAAGTTTGCGTTGACGGTGGCCCTGCGTCAGCACAGCTGACCTGTGTTTCTCTTTCTCTCTCCCAGTCGGTTTGAGCCCCTCCACACCCTTGCAGATCCTGCCACCTGAGTTCTCAGCTGCCTCCCGACTTTCAGAATCTTCTAATGTCAGCCTGAGCAATCTCATAGTAACATTTTTATCTTATCAGAGCTGATAAGTCACAATAGCTCCTTGTTGCCTAGTGACTCAAGCGTTGGCCGGAGCCTGGCCACTGAGCACTCTGGAGTCTGGGTCTGGTGTTGCCCTGCCTGGCCAAACTTGCCCTTCAGGCCTGCTCCCAGCTGGCTGGGCTATGCAGCAGCTGAGGTGGACCCCCCCCCCCACGCCCCCGATCCTGGCCTTTACTCTCCAGTTTCCTTGGTTCCAGTCTCTTAGGAGCCGGTCTGAGTTTCGCAAGAATTGGAAGAATGTATTTGCTGCCCTCATCCAGAGGGCTTTTACGCTGAAGGAGAAGACAGAGAAATAACTGGATAAAACGTCCTCACGGGATCCCATGAAGGACTCCGGAGACAGGAGCCAGGGGCAACACTTACCACAGCAAGGCTCTTCCCCTTCAGACTCAGCTCCAGTCCACTCTTGTTGACCAGCAATTAAACCAGAACTCGGCAGAGAGGAGGAACTCCATAAATGTGGAATTTATATCATGACGTTCAGTAATTCCCGGGGGGAAATGTGAAGGAAGAAAGTGGGGGATAATACTCAGGGATGGTAGCATGTTATTATGTAAACAGTGAAGGCTGTGAGTCAGAGTTCCAAGTTCTGGGTCAGACTTAGCACTAGTGACCAGTAACTGCAAGTTACTTTATTTTTAATTACTCCAATTTGCACTTTTCTTATTCGAGAAATGGGAATTAAAAGCTTGTGTCTTTGGACAGGCATGCAAGCTTACCAGGATAACACGTGTACAGCCCCTGCCATGGAAAACAAGGCTTTAGAGATGCGTGTGTGAGTGTAAATAACAAACAGCACAAGGCAAATAAAACAGCAGAGATACTTAACAGAAGAGCTGGGTGTAAGTGCAGCTTGAGGAATTTTTACAAAGTGGACGTAATGCGTGTAACCACCACTGTGGTCAGAAAACATACACTATACGATCTGAATCATTGAAACTGATGAGAGTTTCTTTATGGCCAAGTGTGTGGCCAATTTTTGTAAATGTTCTATAAACACTTGAAAAGAGTTTATTCTGCAGTTTTGGGGCGCAGTGTTCTATTATGTCAGTTAGGTTTAGTTTATTATGTTCAAATTTGTATCTGTAGAATTTTTTCCTGTCTGCTGGTTTTATCGATTGTTTACAGAGTTATCTTCAAATCTGTCATCATGGTTTGGATTTGTCTGCTTCTCACTACAGCCCTGCCATTTGTATTTTACGTATTTGGGCACTACGGCATCAGACTGTGCAGACTTGGAGCTGTTATGCTCCCCCCTGAAGGGACCCTCTTCTCCGCACATCCCTCTTCGGCCTGATGCCCAAACACACAACCCCGAGACCCTGGGAGGGACGTGCCTCTGGCTTGGGTGCCTCTCTTCTTGGAGGCAATTCCCAAAGGGCCGACCACAGCAGGATAAATGGGATGAGCCTTTCCTTCCTGAAGGGCAGTCTGGGTAGCACAGCACCCACTACAGTGGGTTTGTACACGCACCAAACTCTGCCTTCTGAAAGGGAAAAGAGTTTTAAAATGTGTGTCAGGGCTAAGGGAACATTGAAAAGCATAGTCAGACGAAGTCAGGAATGAATGTCAATGTTTGGACTCAGATTGCAAATTTGGATTTGGTCTTCCTTGAGACCCAAGCAAAATGACCAACAGGCTCAGTTATGAAATCCCGGTATCCATGAGACACACATGTGACCCCTGCTCATCTCCCATCGGAGAGTTTTCTCTGAAAAGCACAGCCCACAGTGGTGGTCCCTTCTCCAAGCTTTCCCCTGCGCCCCCCCCCGCCCCCACGCTCATACTTAACTTCGCAAGACTTTACATGCCTTTGAGGGCAAAGAACAGAAGTTTGCACTTGGGAGACACCCAAGTGTTTGTTTCAATTCAGCGATTTGAAGTTTCTCCTTTGGTTACCTATTGTCGTTTCCTGTATTTGTCTTGGAAGTAGACTGCAAGCCATTTGAAGTCAGGGATTGTGGTTTACAGCTATTTGAATTAATTCCCCTACAGCACCCATAGGTGCTTGATAACCATTGCTTTAAGTTGGGCAGCATTGGAAGCAGATCTTTGGTCGGAGAGATGTGACCAAAGGAATGAGAGCAAAGATGAAAAAAGCAAAAGATCAGGAAATACTACAGTTTTGTATAAAAGTGTAAACTTTTTTTACTTGCAGTAAACCAACGTTCAGGAAGTTTCCCCACAGGCAGCTTGGATATACTGTGATCAGTGAAAATCAAATCACTGCGGAAACTAGAAATAGTCAAGGTGTTGAGCGTGACTTTCAGTTAAAAACGGCGTAACTATATGAACAGAAAGCTTTCCTACAAACGTAGCCTCTGGCCAGTGGAGCTCAGCATCCAGCTACTGGTCACAGTGCGGAAGCAGTTCTGAAACGTAGGGCTCTGCTGAGCGATCAGACGCGTTTGGGGGCTCACCCGGTCACTCAGCGGCACAGAGCACATGGGGGCCAGTGTGTACCGTTCGGAGCACTTGGTGTACAGACGCCTGAAGTCCTCCTCGAGAAACCTGCCATTCCTCTTCCCCGCACGTCCCCCTCCTTCCCCTCCCCGTCCCCTTTCCACTGACTGCGGGCTGCTGCCCGGGGGGTCCACAGAAGAACAAGGTTTGGGGTGGTTTCAGGGCACCCTTCACCGCTCCCCTGGCCCTCTCCTACCCCCGTGCACATTAGTGGGAGGTTTGCACCTGCCAGAGGACGCGACCGAGGTTTCCGCAGCGCCGGGTAACGTCCGCGCAAACCAGCAAGAAACAAGCCAGGCCCGGCTCCGCGTGGGCGCAGTACCACCGACTACGCTACCCGCCCCCGCCGCTCGCAAGCCGTGCCCAGTCAGAGACCCTGCCTCGGCAGCGCGGCCCAATCAGGGTGCGCTCACCTGCGGAAGGTGAGGGATCCGTCTCCCCGCCAATCAGAGGTGCCTCCGGCTTGGACCTGCGCCCCGCTCCGGGGGGTGGGCGGTGCTGCACCTGGCGGCGTTGAGTCACTCAGCGGAGCGGCGGATGCCTCCTCCAATCGGAACGCGCAGGGTCGGGCGTCGGCCAATCGGGCGCGGAGGGCGGGCCGGCGGGTTCAACCTGCGGCTGGAGCTCAAACCGCGCGGCTGTGCCCGAAGCTGGGTCTGTCCCCGGGCTCGGCTGCCGCCGGCGCGTCGGGAACCCGGTCGTGATGGGGTCGAAGGGGAAGGTCGGGAGGATGCAGTTGCTTCTCCTCGCGTCGGTGATCCTGTGTAAGTTCCGGAGTTTCGGGAGGGATCGGTGGGCTGGGTCGGAGGTTGGAGCGAGGCGCGCCCACGGCCGTGCCCGCGGGCGGGGACGGGTCCGACCGGCCGACCTCGCCCTCCGCGTCCCTCCGCCGCTCCCGGCCCCGTCCCCTCCTCCCTCCACCCGCCGCCGTGCGGCTGGCTCCCCTCCCCCACACCGGGAGTCGTGCCCCCTGCTGTGACACCCACCCGGAGGGCGCTGACCGCTGCGCGCACCCACCGAGAGGAACCGGGGGGCCCGGTCCGCTCGCTCCCGGCCGCACGGGCGGGCGGGGGCCCTGCCCACCACACCTGCCGGCCCCGCCTCCGCGCGCCTCCGGAGAGGGCGCGGCCCCTAGGACGCGCAGCCGCGAGCCTCGGCGCCCGACTCCCTGGGCCCCGGGGTGTCCTGCCCCCGAGGGGACCCCAGAAGTCCGACGGGGCGGCGGTGGCCGGAGGGGTCTCTGTATCCTCCCCTGCTCTGCGAGAGCGTCTGAGCGCGAAGTCCGAGGAGGAGAGAAAACTGAAATCTGAGTTTTCGCAGGAAGCGGCGCTCCAAGTCCCTTTCTCGAACCACTACCTGAACGAACGACGTTGACCGAGTGGGTGGCCGGGGCGGAGGGCCGAGACCCCGCGGGCGACAGGAGGCCCCTGCCCCACGGGCGCGCGTGGGCCGTCTGCTGCCTGGGTGTGGGTGCTTCTGCGCGCAGTTGTGTGAGCATGTGGTTTGCGGGAACTTCTTTCTGCTCAAGGTCCGTGTTTTGGGAAGTGTTCAAAGAAAGGAACCGTGACAACCCCTCGTGGTAGTGCCAGGTAGATTCGTTTCCCCAAGTTCACTTTGAAGGGGAGGCCGGTTCCCTGCCGCAGTCTGAGCCAGCGACTGTCGGGCCCGGAAGCTCCCTGGGGTGCCCTTGCCTCCTCCCTTTCCTTCCTCACTTTCTGTATCACCGAACAGTCCCGCACCGGCACCGGCACCGGCACCGGCACCGGCCGGTTGTGAGAGCGCCGCTCCGAGCTCGGGGCGAGTCCTCTAGTCTCTGCAGGGGATCCAGAGTCGACGCCTCAGAGGCGGCCCAGCAGATGGGGCCTGAGCTTGACCGCGTCCTGAGCAGTCACATCTCCAGGGGTGGAGGAACGGGCCCTGTGACTAAATCAGGCTACACGGGCGAGAGTGATTGGCTTTGTACTGAGGTTGCAGTGGGAGCCGGGCCCCAGCCTGGGGTCTGGCTTGGCTTTGCCTTGTTGGCGATGTCCGGCCGGTAGCTGAGCCTTCTCACCTGTAAGAGAACAGCAGCAAGGGCGCCCTACTCCTCCCCGTCCCGGGCAGTAATAGCTGCATCACATACACACGAAGGCAGTGCCGGGCATCCCTTTGGGTTTTGTGAGGATGAAGAGCAGGGAGAGACCCCGATAGATCCCAGTGGCAGCAGTAAAAAATAAGTAGGGTCTTGTCTTGAGTGTTCCGTCCGTCCTGAACCCCCAGGATGCCAGAAGTATGTACGGATGCCCACGTGCCCTCCCTCCAGGGCTGCTGCTCCTTGTGGGCCTGTCAGCTGGGAGACGGCCATGGGCCTGACCCTGGAGCAAAGGCCCAGCCCCATCCTGGGGAATCTGGTGGGGAGGGTGGCCTGAGCCTTTTGTGGCAACAGTGACCCAGGTGACCTAGAGCACCAGCCCACCCCACCCCACCCCACCGTCCCCTGCCCGCCCTCCCACCCCCCCACCCCAGCACCTGTGCTTGAAGAGTTTCCAGCTATCTCCCAGTCAGTGTGGCCTGTGGTTAGAACAGACTTTGGGGGCAGGGGGAAGGGGAACCCACTTTGTAACTGCGTCGGTTGCTCTGCCTGCCCCCCCACCAGGCACTCCAGGATGGGGGAGCTGCTGTGGGTGGGTTTGTGTGTCCTCCTGTTTCCTGCTGATGTTGCTTCTAGTGTTGCTGTTCAGGGTTAGATTTAACTTCAGCACTGTAGACGGTGAGTCACTCCTCCAGTCTGCTCCCCTCCCCTGGTGAGGTTACTCTCGGGAAGAATTGTTCCCTTGAAACCAGAAACGAGAAACTACCTACCGACAACAGCCAGAGCTGGGCAGTGAGTGGTCGAGGGGATCCCCATATGTCAGAGCTGCTGGGACTTTTTCACCCCTTTAAAATAAGTTTATTTAGGGTAGGTTAGTACCTTGGTGTGGTTCGACAATCGAAATGATATTAGAGGCCCCGACTGGTGTGGCTCCACAGGCTGTGTGTCATCAGCCAGGCGTCGCCCTGCAAAGGGAGAGGTCACGGGTGGGTTCCCGGTCCCCTACGAGCAGCAGCTGATCTTGATGTTTCTTTCTGACATCTTGTTTCTTTCCCTCCCCTTTCTCTAAAGATACTGTAAGTAAACAACATCTTTTAAAAAATGATACTGAAGAGGTGGGGAACGGCTCACTTCCTGCACCACCTCCCGGTGGTTCCTTCTGTGCCCGTCCCGCGCTTTGTGGCACAGACACAAGAATGTATCAGTATCTGTTCTTTCCCGTCTCTTACACAGGGAGACATACTGTATACATCCTAGCCTGTCCTTCATCTTGGTTATTTCACTGAGTGTGCCCTGGAGAGCTTATCATATTGGTGGGTGTTACAGGCATTGGGGCCTGGCCGTTAACATTCCCTCCCAGTCAGCTGAGGGTCGCGGCACCCGTTCTGTGGACACAGAAGTGGCTGCCACCCCTGCTCAAACACAGACTGAAAAGCTACAGGTCTTATGTGGTAGATTAGGAAATAGCGGAGCTTGTTTTTCACCTTTGTTCGCATTGAGGGAGAGACCTTGGAGATCTCTAAACTCAAGCTTGCTTTTCATAAGTTTGGGAAAGATCTGAGTGACCACTCGTCGAATGCGATTGTGGAAGAGTTTTTCGGCATTTTGAGGGGATCGTGGGAAGCGGTGTGAGTGGACTTGCCCTGGGGTTTTCCAGGCATTGCGAACTCGGAGCTCATCTGCCTGGGACTCCCTGATAAGCAGAGTTTCTGTCCAAAGTCTGGCTTGTGTCTTTGTTTCTCTAGGTGGGGGGAGGACGGGAGGAAGCAGCTGGCTGGCAGGAAGTCTGATCCCAGGGTGGGGGCAGGCAGGCTCAGCCTTCCTTTGGAATGGAGAGAAGGGTGGGGGAGGGGAGGAGCTGAGCTGGTAGAACTGGAAATTCTGCCGAGAGCGGGCAGGAGGGGGATATGAAAGCCCTCCTGGGTAGCCGGGCCCGTATGGCTCCCTGCCATCCTCAGAGGGCTGCTGACGTCACTGAAGGTGCAGCCAGGGTAGAGGTTCAGACTTGCTCGCCTATTGTTGGGCTGGCAGTGAGTTTTCCGCCTGCCGACACATTCCTTCCCGGTCCCAGCCCCGCCCCCAGGAGCGCGGGCTGGTGGTGGTGACGGTGGTGGTCAGGGTGGTCAAGTGGGCAGGCTGGGGTGGAAGCCTTGCCCCCGGGGTCCTGATCAGGCAGCGCTGGCGAGTCCACTTGGGAATCCAGTAGACGTGGGCGTGTGTTGCCTGCGTTCAGAGCACCGTGCCAGAGATAGGGCTGTGAAGAAGCTCTGAGGGAAGCCGGGGGTATTGGTAAAACAATTAGCCCCCATGAAGGTAAACAGAGTTCACTGCATCTGGTGGCTGCTGGGCCCTGGGCCCTCCTCCCTGTGCCCAGGCTGCGGCTCCTTGTCGGCTGGAGGGTCCTGTGAGGCTCAGAGTCTAGAGGGGAAGTTCGGGTGAATTTGTAGAGAAAACCAGAGGCTGGCTGGCTTCTTTCTGTGCTTTTCTTCCCTTCTTTCCTTTTTTTTTTTTTTAAATAAATTCCACCGAAATCATAGCACCCTGGCTGGTGTGGCTCAGTTGGTTGGAGCATCATCCTGTGACCAAAAGTTTGTGGGTTCGATTCCTGGTCAAGGCACATGCCTTGGCTGTAGGCTTGTTCCCGGTCCAGGCGCAGGCCTATGCATCCCCGGTCCAGGTGGGAACAATCCCCAGTGGACGCTTCTCTCCCCCTCCCTCCCTCCCTAACAGCAGTGCAGAAAATGTCCTCGGGTGAGGAAAACACAGTCATAGCAAGAAAGCAACTTAAAATTCCAATCAGTAACAGGGTGGTAGAGAGAAAACAAAGATTTCTTAACAAAGCAGTAGAAAGAAGTAACTTTTTTAAAAAAGATTTTATTTTATTTTTAGACAGGGGAAGGGAGGAAGAAAGAGAAGGAGAGGAGAAACACCGGTGAACGGCTGCCTCTGATGTGCCCCCCACTGGGGACCTGGCCCGCAACCCAGGCGTGTGCCCTGACTGGGAATCGAACCCAGAACCCTTTGGTTCTCATGCTGGCGTTCAGTCCACTGAGCCACACCAGCCAGAGTGAAAGAAGTAACTTTTCTGTTGTGGGTTTGACCCGCTTGTGCAAGGGATGGTTGTTGGGTCCTATTAAGTGGGTGCCCCCACCCTCCGTGACCACCACCGTCCCTCTGGGCAAAGCTGCCGTAGAAGCTGAGGAGGATGCGAACATAACTGGGCTCCCCTGTCTCCAAGGAGCGGCAGACACACGTTAACCAAGTGAAATACAGAGCAAGCCGAGAGTTAGGGCCCCCAGAAGTCTCCGGCTGTGTGGGGCCGCCCGCCCGAGGAGAGGGGCGCCGTGCCACGTTAACATGGAGGAAAGATGGTCAGCAAACGTCCGGTCAGCTTTGAGGTTCGTTTCCTCTTGGGAGGCTCCTTGAACGTCACTGTTTCCCCCTTTAGTTGAGTATCTGGTTCACTTAGTCGTAAATACACTCTGAAGAAAGACACTTGGGCATCGCTGGTTTCAAGGAAGACTCGCCCCAGCGGTTGAGTCGGGGTGGATTTGATTCCGGCAAACACGTGTCGCCCCTCAACGTCTCCGCGTTGGGAGGGTTAGGGTTCTGACGGAAAAGCAGACGTTGCCTAGTTAGTTGTCTCCACCAGAGTTGTGTGCAGAGTTACTTCGGGGAGGCGGCAGTTGCCAGAGGAAAGGGGGGACTGGTTTGTAATGATTGCCCAACCACTGTGCTGTACACCTAAAGTTAACATGAAGTGATGTTGCATCTAGGCTGTACCACAAAAGAACAGAAAGAGTATGTGTAAGGGCCTCAGCAGTCTCCTCTCCAGGACGGTTTCAGCCTCGCCCAAACCATCAGGAAGGACAAGCGGGAGCGCCCCTGGGGCAACCCCGTGCCAGCCTCGCCTTGCCCCTCTTTCCCAGCTCCCCCTGGGTCTCCTGCGGCCCCTCCTGGGGACCTGGCTGTCCTCAGCACAGCCACACTCCTCCATCAGAGCTTCCCAGCAGACCCTATGAAGCAATTCCACTAAGTCAGACACTGAGCCCAGCAAACTGGGGAGCTGAACCAGACCCTGCGCCTGCTGCCCTAGGAGGCCGCAGCGTGTACAGGTTCATTCACACACTCCGGGGGCTGCCTGGTCCTCTGTCCTCAGGACCTAATCCTCCAGGCGGGCAGGAGCCCTTCCCTGGGGCTCCACTGAGGCCGGGCACCTGGACCAGCAGAAGAAGAGGAGGAGGAGGAGGAGGAAAAATTCCGCTGAGGAAACACGCGGCAGAAGCCAAAAGAGCGATGTGAAGGGGCAGAGCCCAGCCCAGACAGGGTGTGTGGGACCCTGGCAGGCTCAGGAAAGGGCCAGGCGGGGGAGGGACCGGGAAGTGGGTAGGATGCCAGAGCGCAGCCTCAACAGCCTGCCGGCCGCGCTGTCACCCAGAGCCTAGACCCACCTCTTCTCCCCGCCCCCTGGGGTGTCCCCGCCGCTGCCAGAGCCTGCTGCCCCTGAAAACTGGGCTTTCTGGTTTCACATTCTAGTGTTAACGGACGTGTGCTCCTCCCGGGGGCTTCTAATGAGCAGTCAGGAAGTTTTGTTAAGCTTGCCCTTCTTTCAGGTCGATGTAAAGCCAGCTTGGCGGATTCTGCACGCAGAAGTTACTTTGGATGTTAAAACAGATACATTTGGCTATGTTAAGTAGACCACTTCTGGTTAAATCTTCCCATTTCTGTGAGAATCTGCAAGTAAGTAGTCTTTCCAGCAGTAGCACTTCCTCACCCCCACGCCTCCCCCCCCGCCCCCCCCCCTCCACAAAGATCCTCAGCTGCCTAAGAATCTCCGAAATGGGCCAGAGGAGTGAGCTAAGCGCCCCTCATCCTCAGAGCTGAGTGGAGACTTTTGTTTATCCAGCAAAAGTTTTGTTAAGTGCCCCCAGCAGCTCCAGCCGGAAGCCAACACTGACACCCGCCGTCCATTTTTCTCTCGTCCTGGCTCAGCCTGGCTTCTTCTTAGACCCAACCTCCAGCTCTGCCTCGAGGTCCTTAAAACAGAGAAATTCAGCCTCTATCCTTATAACAACAGGGGTCAGGATTTCCGAGAAACTCACCCAAACTTGTTGGTGCAGATCGGAAGCCGACGGGGCACGACGGGCCTGGGTTGGCGCCTCGAGCATCTCGGTCTCGGTCTGCGAGGTGGTCCTGCGTGGGCTCTGCCCTGGAAGCCCACCATTCTACCCACGGCGAGCTGTGATAGTCCGGGTCCCTGCAAGTGAGCCAGCAGAGGGGCTCAGGAGAGAACGGCCCAGCCCCACCTGGGGTCCTCCTAGTATGTGACCACACAGGGGCCAGGCCTGGAGCGGGGCTGCCCAGGGCCAGCTGTTGTGTGTGGGTTCTTGACGCCGCGTAGGAAAGACTTCTCAGCGCGAGTCCACGTGGCTGTCAGGGTACGTTTATTAAAGTTGAGGGCAGTGAAACTAGGACGGCCTCAGCAGCGAAGAAGCAACAGGGGAGCCCAGGCCGGGCTGCCCTCGCTCACTGGGAAGCTGGAGAAAAGATGGTTCGGGGGATTAGCCGGGTACCAGCTGCCAGCTGCCCGTGGCCCTAGAGCTCAGGAGACAGCGTGCCCGTGGGGGAAGGAGTCGGGGAGCACACACTGGGCCCTTGGTCTCGAGGTTGTATCGTTTTTATCATCAGTTGTCTGGGTGTGTCCTTTGAGGGTCAGGTCTCCACTGAATGGTCAGTGGCAGGGCAGTGCGTGGGTCTTCAATCATTGTAATTGGTTCTGGCCTTGCCCGCCTGGTCTTGCTTCTTTTCTGGGCCTGGGGCTGAGACACAACGGAGGCCTAGATGTTGTCTCCAGGGAGGAAAGGGCAGGGGAGCAGAGGTCACCCTGGGGGTGAGGTCCTTGTTTTCCCAGGTTGGCCCCCTGCCAGGCACTCCGCCCTGGTGGCCACCTGGAACCTGGCTGTGAATTGCGCAGCCATTGTGTTCAGCGGTCTGTCTCGGTTTCCCTATTCCGCTTGCCAAGGACTTTTCCTGGCTTCCTGCCCTCTGGTCTCGTGTCCTCTGGGTAAACGTGTGGGGTATGTGCAGTGTGTGTATGGACCAAATACCCTCAAACAGCCCGTGAGCGGTGTCCACCATGTGGTTGTGACAGAATTTCCCTGCTTGTTCACCTTTTGCTGGGCATTTAGGTTTTCTCTTTCCTGCTGTACTGAACAGCATGTAGCTGCCCTTGCACCTTCGCACTTAACTTGGGTAAATTTCCCGTTTTGCTGTTTGTAGCTGTGTGGTTTGGGTTACCTGTGCTAATCCTCACTGTTCTCATCTGTAAAATGGATGCTAACAGTATTATTCATCTTGGGCTTTTTGCGAGAATTTAATGAGATCGTGCTCACCAGGCACAAGTCTTACTATGGGGGCTCAGTGTCCCCTCTGCCATCAGCCGGCGGTCCAGGGGGTCCCAAGACTGTGCTCCGATTCCAGACACGGGGACTTAGGCTCTGCTTCAGTCACAGTGTAAGAGAAGCCTGCGGGATAAGTACACACACAGGTGTGTCTCTACAGTTTGCCGCAGTCGTTGCTGTTACTCAGACACAGAGCGGTTTTCAGATGTCACGCCCCCAGCCTTGCAGACCCACCACCCGTCCCGTCGGGAGTGGATGAGCCCGTGCGGGACTGACTGCCCCCGCCCCTTCTCCAGCCCGAACCTACCTTCCCTTCCACCTCCCAGCCCGGGCCTTTCCGCCGCCCTGGCCCTGTTCTTAGCCGCAGGGCCGCGTTTCCTGCGGCCCCTTGGCCTTGCTGGAGGTCTTTCAGGCTCACACACGCACTTCAGGGTCCTGATGCTGCAGCGGGCCCTGTTTCTTGCTTGTCTGTTAACTCACTTCACCTTTAAGGTTCTCTCGAATCACTCAGTGCTTCCTGGTGTGATGCTGTCTTTGTGTTTCCTGATGTTGTTTACCATCTCCTATTTCCTTTTTTTGTCTTTGTTTCTGCCTATTCTGGCATTGTTTTATTTATTTCCCTTTTTGTGATTTGGTTATTTTCCTTTTTATTTCCCTTTCCCACTCCGTTGGTCATATTTGCATAAATAGAAATGTATTAAATATGCACTTAATACATATTTACTTACTACACAAATGTAGAACATAGAAAAGCTGCCCACGGTCTAATTTCTCAGCTCTATGTAGTGTCAAGTATTTGTAATCCCCTGTTAGAGGTTTTTAAAAAAATTCTCATGGAGGACATGTTGTTCATTGGTGAGAGAGAGAAAGAGAAACAGAAAAACATCGCTTGGCTGCCTCCCATTCCAGCTCCGACCAGGGATCAAACCCGCAACCCCTTGGTGTACAGGGTGACGCTCCAACCAAAGGAACCAGCAGGCCAGGGCTCTTAGGATGTTTTCTATGCGCGTACTGGGTTGCCGTCACTATCTACAGAAGTAGGGTCGGTGCTGGCTTGGGGGCACATGTGCTGAGGTTGGAACAGGACAGAGAAGGTCAGCATGGCCCTGTGTGAGGGTGGGAGGCGGATTCTCGCAGCGTTCCCCGCCCTGGTGGGCACTCTCACACCCTGCGATGGGAAGAAACAGGAGTCCAGAGCACAGTGTATGGCACTCACTAGCAAAATCGTGACTTTTCACTGTACAAGTATGTGTGTAAGGCAATCTGCGAGGTGAAGAAGAGGTTCAGTTATGCCTGGTCTCTCTGTGCTAATACAGTGATATGCATTCCCTTCTTAACCCTTAAAAGTCAAATAAAAACAGGATTGTATTTTTGCATATCTTTCTTTTCCATTTTGGACCTATTTCTACGCCAGTTCAAACCGACCTACCTCGACCTTTGGGGAGGCACTCTGTCTTCCACTGTGAGAGGTGTCATCTGCTGGAGCCAGATGGCCTGGGTGAGAACCCCAGCTCTGCTGTGCGGCCTGGAGCAAGTGACTTAACTTCTGGGCCCCAACTGAGTCCTGTCAGATGGGAGCAGCAATGGCATTGACCTCACAGCGCGGCTGTGAGGGCCAGTGTTTAGACCCTGGTGTGAAGGGCTCAGAGGGGGCCTGGCACAGAGTAGGAAAGACACCAGCCAGCACCATTTTATTCCTGCCAGTCTTCCCTTCATTTGGTTATGCTCAGAAGTGTGTCCAGAATTCAGGTAACGATAAATGGAAGGTATAGGAGAAGTCTTTTTTTTTTTTTTTTTAAGATTTTATTTCTTTATTTTCAGAGAGGGAAGGGAGAGGCGGGGAGAGAGAGAGAGAGAAACATCGATGTGTGGTTGCTGGGGGCCGTGGCCTGCAACCCAGGCATATGCCCTGACTGGGAATCGAACCTGCGATACTTTGGTTTGCAGCCCACGCTCAATCCACTGAGCTATGCCAGCCAGGGCAGGGGAAGTCTTTTAAAGGTCTTCAAGAGTTCTGTTGATTTTTTAAAAAAATAATTCTTTTTCTCTTGTTGAGACACAGTTGGCATACAGCACTGAGCTGGTTGCAGGTGTGCAGCGTAGTGACCCGATATTTAACACACTGTGAAAGGGTCACAGTCTAGTGACAGCGTCACCATGTAGTTACAGAACATTAATTTTTTTTCTTTTTAATTTTTTTTAGAAGGAGAGACAGAGAGAAACATCGATTTGTCGTTCCACTTATTTTTGCATTTATTGGTTGCTTCTTGCATGTGCCCTGACTGGAGGTCGAACTCACAACATTGGCACAGGGACGATGCTCCGACCCACTGAGCTCCATTGCCAGTCGATGGGCATTTGGGGTGTTTTCATATCTCGGCCATTGTAGAAAACGCTACAGTGGATGTGGGGGTGCAAGCTTCTGTGTTAGCGTTTTCCTTTTCTTCTGGCAAATACCCAAAAGTGACGTTCCTAGAGTGTATGGTGGTTGTATTTTTAATTTTTTCAGGGATCTCCATACTGTCTATCACGGCGGCTGCATCAGTTTGTATTCCCACCACCCATGCACAAAGGTTCCCTTTCTCCACATCCTCACCAGCACTGGTCATTTCTTGTCTTTCTGATAGTGGCTATTCTAGCAGTTGTGAGGTGGTCACTTGCTGTGGCGTTTATTGGCATTTCCCTGAGCACCTTCTCATGTACCTGTTGGTCATTTGTATGTCTTAGGAAAAAATTTTTAATTTATTTTTAAAGATGTTTTTAGGACTTCCAGCCAAGATGGAGGCGTAGGTAGACACACTGTGCTTCCTTGCACAACCCAAAGAAGGACAACAACAATTTAGAAACAAAAAACAACCAGTACTGGCAGAAAATTGAACTGTGTGGAAGTCCGACAACCAAGGAGTTAAAGTAGACACATACATCCAGACCGGTAGGGGGCGAGGAGAGGAGTCGCAGCAAAGCGTGGCTGGTGGACCCCGGGTGCGCAAGGTGGCAGCGGGTGGACCGAGAGAGGGGGCAGATTGTGGAGGGGTACGGTGCATCTGTGCCTGGAGGACGGGCTGACCCACATTTGCATGCAGATAAACCAGGCAACATTGGGGAGGGAGACAGACCACGCAACCCAGGGTCCCAGCGTGGGGAAATAAAGCCTCAAAACACCAACTGAAAACACCCGTGGGGGTAAGGTGCCGGGAGAGACCCCCAGCCTCATGGGAGAGTTCGTTGGAGAGACCCACAGGGTCCCAGGATGTACACAAGCCCACCCACCAGGGAATCAGCACCAGAAGGGCCCAATGTGCTTGGGGGAAGCGGTGGAAGTGACTGAAATCCAGCA